TCATTAACTAGCTAAAAATATCGATCGTTTTAATATCTTTATTCTACACCACTACGCGGACAACGCGATTGTTCTTTTATCGAAAAATAATAATTGCCGATGAAAATCAATTACAAAAGAACATATTGAAAAAATTTTCCTCGTTTTACTACCCTCTATCCTCGAGAAAGTGCAACAATAGTCGATAAACGCGTAGATACATAAGAAGTTGAATAAAAATATTCGTCACGCTGATACGAAAAGGGCCGATTGTCGATTTCGAATCGAATCTAATGTCGCGCGTGGTTTCTGAACGGACACAAGGTATACGCGAAATGCAAACTGCTTTATCGCAGTGTAAACACCTGGTGTGGCCTCGTAAATGTTGTTGGAAAGAATTACAGCTCGCTTATAACGAGTTAACACGCACGACGTAATTTAATGTGCTTTAACACCTCCACGGATTTATGCTACCCATTGCATGCAAGGTACGAATGCATACACGCGTGTGTATTTTTGTAAAAAGTACCGGCGGAAACCGCGACGCGTGTGCGTACCACGTATATGCACGGATGTCGAGCATACGGGTCATTGTGGCACCCGACGTTTATTTCAAGTCACCATCGCGACGCTATAAATTTCACTGTTACATTTTTGGTCGTGTGATGAACGGCTGTTCCATAAACTCTGTCGTTAATGAATGGTGAGGGTGTGAGACCGAGGATGCAATTTGCGATAAAGGAAGTTTAACCTTATATACCATTCTTTTCTCAAAACTAATTTTTAATCTATTGGATACGTTAATTATATCGTGAGGATGGAAAGGAAGGAATGAACAGAATCACGATTTGTGAACAACCGTAATTTTTCGAAATTTGCATAGAATATGCGTGACAAAATAATTTTCATCTCGGTAAGAAGGTAGTTCAAATCAGAGCACTCTCTGCCAAAAGAATCTATCCGATACACCATCGAGTCTTTCGGAAGTGAATTATTACCGTCACCGTCTACGTAATTAAGGGATTCCATAAATTTCTTCGCGATCATAATCCCACGGATTCGATCGTAATAAATCAAGACCTTCGTCATAAATACAAATCCTAGATAACAATCGAAGCGAGATAACATTAACGTCCGATTATTCGGAGATGGCGGCTCGATATATCGTTGATATCGAGGAGGAGAGGAAACCTGCTTCACGTGGTTTGACATTATCGAACTGTAATCGAGACCCCGTTCTCGCGGCTCGCATTGTTCCCTTATACAGGGCCGATTTATAAATTCGCTCATGCGATATTCATACAATTAATATTGGCCACGGTACGCCGTATAAAAGGCAGAGTAACTTGACATTCATCCCCGGTTAATCCAATCAAAAAGCCGAGGAGTGTCAGTTTGGGCGCGGCTTTATATGCGCGTTACTGATTAGCTTTTTTACCGAAAAAAAGAAGTGTTCAGCTCTGGCGGATATCAAGGACATCAGACTGTTGGACATCGTTGGAAAATTAATCGGAAAGTTAATTGAGCGATCGATTAAGAACGAACGAGAAAAAAAAAATGTTTAATTTAACGAACAATAATGGATAATAAAGATCGATGAAAATGTGCATCGAATTCGTAAAATTCTCTTAACGCCTCTTCTACGAGCGATCAAGTAACATTCTTGACGCATTAGCCGAGCCGAACGCATTTCCAAATTGCGAAACTGGGTACCGAAATAGAAACGAATTTTCAAGAAAGCTATCACGGCACTATTAATCGTCCAATCAAACGGTAGTAATAGATACGAATAGTTCCAGATCCGACCTGAATCACTATCGAAGCACTTGCTCCTCGTACGTGGCCATGTGGTCTTCTCTGTAATTTATACTCGTCTTTCGCGTCCCATATACCGATTCTACGCCCATGTAACACTAACCCACGTACGGATACTGTATAAGCAATTTAACATACAATCCCTTATCATCTTAATCTTCTTCAGCTTCATCAACCGCGAGAATAGGATATACGTCGGGCTCTATACACCATCACAATACACTTCGAATTTCCTTTCGCAACGTATATTTTCAACTTATCAATTTCCAGCCTACTGACTAATAGGAATTATTATTATATATATGTCTTTGTTGTTGTATATACAAGATATACGCAGCGTGTACATAAGTAGAGAGATTATTTCCGAGAAATCGTCGCGATTTTTCTTAACCATACTTGATCAAAGTTGCGAATAACAGTGACGTTTACGAGACACGAATATTAATCGTATCCGTCACGCTGCAACTCGTGTTATAAATCTTTAAACAATTCTTCTTCCATGGGTTTTTTCCAATTTTCTTTGATAGAAATAATTAATCGCCGATGTTGGAAAATATTTATCTTGATTTATACCCTTTGTGCCGCGTTGACCACGTTAACGTTTGTTCCTGACAAATGATAAATTTCTTATAAATTTGTAATAATAATAATGAAACGAATAATTGCGAGGATATTAAACGAATACTGAACTTGTTAATTAGATTGATGGATAGGAAAATTTGATTAAATATAGATAATTTGTGATCTATATTCCAATCGACATCGTACGCGTGTATATACATAAATATATATTAACATGTTAAATTACAATAATTGTAATTCGTTATTATTTATTCTGTACAAAACAATCTCTATTACGACTTTATTAATATACTCTATATTAAACAATATTTTCCTAGTCAAGAAATAACATCCAATTACCATATCTTTTCGAATATTCATAATTCAATTGATAATAAAATTAAATTTTTTACTAATAAAATTGAAAATTTAGAAAAAAAATATTGAATTTTTAAGTTTCAAAGTGTCAATATAAAGTTTAATAGAAGTATTTTTTGAAATAATCCAAAGAAGATTCTAATAATCAAAAGTTTCTCTAGATTTGAGAATCTTTTATATATATTAACATGATTTTAAATTTTATCTTAAGAAAAAGAGTATATAGGTACTTGGATGTTGACATAATGATTAATGGAAGTAACATAACATAACTTAAATAAGCTTTCAATGGTCGTTAGGTGGTTCTTTGATTGTCTGGATCACCCATGAAGAGATCCATGATTCCGGTGCACTCGACTTGTCGCGATTCACAGAACGACAAAGTGCAGCTGGCTTTTGGACACTCACGAAGGAACGCGACGTGGCTAAATTTATTTCTTGACAGCCATAATTTCACCACGGCTCTACACACAACCATATGCCTCGACGTGTTATGACTTACTAATTCGCGTCGCAGATTCGAAATTTACTTCGATCCGATAACGACCTCTGTTTACACAAATTTCATGCTAAGTAACCACGTGTGTAAATATTGTTTCTATTTCTTAGAATTCTTTGAGTGATTGGGTTCAACGAATTTGTGGTATAAGAAACGTATCCACTTCCACGAGTAAATAAATATACGAATGGAAATATTTTGGTAGATTTCCTTTCGTTTATATTAGAATCTCGAAATTTTATTTGAAATTGTATTACATATTATATTATAATTTTGATGCCGTGATTAATCGTAACGAGTATCAAATTAGTTAAAAAATAAAAAGCAAAAATCAAAATGTTTGTTTAATTTTTTTAAAATAGTTGAATATAATAAAGTTTTTAATAACATTTTATTATTAAATTTATATTTAAAATATATTCAAATATTTGATTCATATAAAAAAATATCTCACGACATATTTTAAATGTCCCTATATGCTCTATATTACAAGATTATTATATCGATACAAAGTTACGAAACGAAATTTCGACTTTTCGTATAACGTAAAAGAACGTGAAAAAAAATTAAAAATTTTGTCATCAAAACCCAATCAGATTACAGAGGAAACCATGCTGTTAAAATTATTTTTTCATTCATCTCGATATCTCAATCGGTTGCCGAGATATAACGATTCAAAGTTTCATTAGCGCAGAAATTATGAATGGACCGCGACCTACTGACCTATATTTTTTCCTGGAAATGCATACTACGTTCTTCCAAGAATTGCATACAACGTTTTTCCAAGAATCGCGTCTGACGCTTGTCTGCAGTTTAGGATAGGTCAGTGAGACGAGGTGCGAGCAAAAGATCCGAATAAAAAACAAGGATAGTAAATGATTAAAAATTACAGTTTTCTTTACACGACGATATCTTGGGAAACGGAAATCGTATCAAGATAAATCAAAAAGCGTTTTAAAGAGTAAGATTCTATCTTCTAATAATCGTTCATTCGTTGACCGAAAATTACTATCTTCGGAATTACAACAATTCAAAGTTTTTCTAATTTTAATACGTTTAACAGGGTTTAAAGGAAAGGATTAAAAATTATTTTTTTTTTATTTGATATTTCGGGAACCAAAAGTCGTATTGCGATAAACGAAAGAGTGTTTTAAAGAGCAGATTTCATGTTTCCAATAATCTTTTACCCGTTGATTGAGGATTATTATCTTCAGAATTATATCGGTTTAAATTTTTCCTAATTTTAATAAGATTTAATCGAGTTTTGAAATAATTACGTGATAATTATGTTTCTTTTTGGAAGAATATTATTTATCTTATTAATGATATATTAATATATTGATTTATTGTTATTTTCTTGTTAATTTTTTATCGTTATGTTTGAATATTTATTCATTGGATGCATCAAAGTATACTTCAGCGTAAAGAATAGGGTTTGTGGAATTTAAAAAAAGATATTGCGTCAACAATCGACCCAACCCGATAACAAAAATCAAAGATATTGATCACATGTACCAATGTGCTGCAATGCAAGCAATGTGCTTGACAAAACGAGCGTAACGCTTTCCATTATTTTTGTCAGTGGATTTTGATTGCTTCCTTGTCGAGAGTGTGCAAATGTGTTATTACTTCCGTGTGTCATTTCTATTTTCTTTAACAATGCGTTTTGTCATCTTTCGATCATTCTTTTTTACTTTTATTCTATTATCTCAATTGTTGCACTAGCTAAATTGAAAATAATATAAAATAAAATAATACAACACTTTTAATGTTTTCAATTTCGAAATAATAATTAATTTCAAACTTAATATGTTCTCAGTGTTTTCTAAATTCCTGCGATGGACATTTAATCGATGGGATTTTCACGGAGCCGACCTTGGAACGGGGTTACAATTTGGTTGCCACGGTTCCTCGTGGTGCTGTGGTTTTGAACGTGACACAATTACGTCACACGGAGAATTATTTGGGTAAGAAGGCATATATTTATCGCACTGCATCATCAGACAAAAATACTCGTACACAAGAGAAAATCTTCTCAACTTAAATGAACAATGAGATAAATCTTGATTTATAAAATGT